TTGATGAAGATATAACTACTAGACTCGCAATGGGGAGGAATGCAATCAAAGCTCTGCATGGCCTTATGTGGAATACTGTTTTAAGGCAATACACAAAACAACACATATTCCACAGTATCGTGGAAAGTATTATATTATATATTTTTTTCAAAATTGGCTCCAGATTTTTCTTCATACTTTTCCAATGGACAATGTTCATTTCACTTTTTAATACGACAAAGTTCATTTTGAGGTATTCTCTTATTTTTCCACAAATTACAGGAAAGTAATTTTTTTTAAATACTTCTCACATCATTATTATGCACATTTTCAGCGATTTGAAAACACTATTGCTTTTGTGAGTGAAATTGTTTCAAATGTTGAAGTTTTACGAAAATTTTAAAAAATTCTGTGAAAATGAGCTTTTACACTTGAGTTAAAATGCCACATCCTCTTTAAGAACAGCTCCAAATTTTTCAATGAAAATTAGCACTTAGGAGGTGGTTTTACTCTTCTTTAATATTTTGGTTGTACTATTAGTAAACCGAGAAATTGAGAAAATTTATAAAAAAAAAATTACTTTGGGAAGCAATAGATGGCAACTCGAAAGAGTATGTGGCAAGTCCTAATAGCTACCCCAGCCCAAAGAAAATAGAAAGGTAATACAAGAAAGTCTGTGCCATTCTGTAGCACCACTAGTTTTTTCTTCATTGAATTTGGTGACATTATTTTATCTGTAGGGTTAATAAGTATTATTCCTGTATAGTAAACTTATCAGATGTTTTTTCAAGATGTTCAGATCAAATTTGTTTAATAAATCTACGTTGAAAATATATATAGGGGGCATTATATGGGATTCAGGGATATTCCAGGGATTTATTTCAACTGGGGACTGTCCACAGGAAAAGAGGACATCTGGTACCCTCAGTTTATGTCGCTCAATCCACGTGTTACACAAATTTTTAAGGTACCCCTACAAAGAATTGAATAGAGTAATTGCAAGATAATTATTTAAAATATTGAATTTTAAATTTTATTTCAGATATGTACGAGCAGGTAGTAAAATTTGGAGCATATATTGTAGATGGTTTGCATGCTTACACACAACCAATAATTATATACATCCCTCCGAATGGTGAATTACGAGGTGGAGCTTGGGTTGTGGTGGATCCTACAATTAATCCTCGACACATGGAGATGTATGCTGATCCGGAAAGCAGGTTAATGTCTCAAAAAGTACTCTGGTGCAACACATACGATGTTGGATATCTCTTGGAATTATCTATCTGTATTTCAGAGGAGGAGTGCTGGAACCTGAAGGAATTGTAGAAATAAAGTTCCGTGCTAAGGATCTTCTTAAAGCTATTCATCGGATTGACCCTGTCATTAAAGCAGCTAAAGAACAGATTGAGAGACCTAACACATCTCAGGAAGTTAAGATTCAACAAGAGCAAATCATTGTTAAACGAGAAAAATTTCTTCTTCCTATGTATCATCAAGTTGCAGTTCATTTTGCTGATCTTCATGATACTCCAGAGCGTATGCATGAAAAAGGAGTAATCCAGGTGCAGCATCACAGTTTTATTGCATATTTATTTCAGTTTAAATGTACATCTTTTATTAATATGTGGAGGGAGGTCATTGCTATAACAGATATTTAAAAGGGGCCTATTATTTCTTGTGGTTCATTATGTTTTCATTTATATTGTGTTCTCTCTGCTATGGATAGATCCATGGATTTAAAATCTTAGACATGGCACCCTTGAAATTCTGAGTGACAATGATAATAAAGTCAATTTATTATATGCATCGTACAATGGTTTTAATAATGGTACTGTTTATAAGAACCACTTAATATGCAAAGATTTGAAGTATATTTGCATAATGTATTTCATTTTTGGTTTAGGATATTGTTCCATGGAGAGAATCACGACGAGTTTTATTTTGGAGGTTGAAGAGACGCTTATTAGAGAACAGAATTGTTGATGATCTAATATCTGTTCAGCCAAATTTAAGTGTTGGGCAGTGTGAAGCAATGCTCAGAAGATGGTTTGTTGAAGATAAGGGAACCACTTCTGTAAGTTTGACATTATAATATTAATTATTCTGATAAAACCTACATCAAACTTTTTGTTAAAAAAATCTCCTGATACTCCTGATCTCCATACAAGAACACTATCTTGAAGTTGTTGGTCTGTCATAAACCAATGAGAATATAGAATTCTACTGTTTTGAATTGAGAATTTGGGTAGCTGTTTACAGGGACAAAATGGTGAACTTAGCTGTGAACTTTAAGGTGGGTACATATTGATCATCTGGGCTCAAAGGGTCATGGATTTCAGTCCTACCTTAGGTCTGGATGTTTGCTTGTGTGTTGGCATTGTGGAGCTCTTGCAACTACCATTTATCCCTTTCCAATCCTCATCCACCCATTCCTGCTTAGCTTGAGTGGCCCAGGAATTTAAAGCATTTGTGCCCCAAGAATGTGTTACATTTCTACTGAAGGTTTCAATTCTACTTAAGGCACGGAGGTAGTGTGTTGTGGCATCCTTCAACCACCATGTATCACCTTTCAAATCATTTTCCTTCCTTCCTTCCCATACCAGACATAGGTACTCTCCCCAGCACTGGCTAAATTTGAGCAGGCAATAGGGGAATGCCCCAAAAGGTTACAAAGCGACCTAAGAAAAAATCAATATACAACTAATTAAAAATGTTTTTTAAAGCAATATTTTATGGAACAAACTGGAAATTAATTTTGTATGTGTGCAGGCCTATCTTTGGGAGAACAATGAAGCTGTAGTGGAATGGTTCCTTGATCAGCAAGCTCAAGATCCTTCAAATTCAATTATCGCAAATAACATCCATTGTGTTAAAAAAGATGCTGTTGTACAGAACATTAAGAGTTCCTTAAAGGTCTGATTTTTAATTAATAAAATAGTGCCTTATAAGTTATAAAATTATTAAACTAAGATTTATGTTGGCAGTATATGATTTCTTAAGTGGCATGTAAATGTGACATTTTTTTAGCATTTCACCATACAGTTGGAAAATAGAAGTGTTTAAAAATTATAACCAAGTAATTGAAGTGCATGTTCTTTCTGGCAACTGTTAAAGTTTATTATTTTTCCTTACCAGGAGTGCCCAGAAGTTCTCCTAGATGTTGCCGCAGAATTATTCCAACACTTTTCACCACAACAAAGAGCAGAAGCACTTCGAACTTTGTCACATCTTGAACCAGTGTCATTGCCAGAGCAAGATCCTGCACAATCACCCCAATCAAGTGAACCATGTGAATGATACATGTTTAATTGTAGTTACCCATATAAGGCCTACAAACTTGAAAAAATGTTCACAAATTAGTTTAAGGTTTTTACAAAGTGGCTCTGAAGATCCTTCAGCATTTCAATATTGATCTGTAAATCGGTATGAACGTGAGAGTTTTGTGTGTTGTCTTAGATTTTATTTTTATATACGGTTCCTTGCATTGGTCAAACTTATCAAATGTCTATGCAGTGTTGAAATTAATTGACTGTGGATAATTGTTATGCTCTCAAGTTACTTTTTAAGTTATTTACTTAAAATTGTTGGGTGTTAGAATAATGCCTTTATTGTGATATTATGGTTTTTGGAAAAAAATCTTAGATCTATTGATATACTACTTAGCACACTAATAGTGTAATATGACATTGCATTGTCACACTTGACAGAGGAAGCATTAGAGAATTTCTCGAAGAGAAAGACTGTATTGTAGAACATGCTTCTGCAATGACTGTTTATATTTATATATAAAACTGTACATATATTTTTCCAATTATTTTTGTGCACAGACATGTCAAATGTAATAAATATATACAATACTAAATAGTGTCTTAAATATTCTTTTTCCATTTCTTTAATATTAACACTCGATAAATACATTTTCACAGTACTCCTTTCGAAATGCTGAAACCACTAGTTCAAAAAGATATGCATCATCTTCAGTGGATCACACAAGAGAAAAGTTCATTACAGAACTCAAAACGAGATTACTTCGACATGCTTTTTCTTACATAATCTTAGTCTTTTTTAGTACTGACAAGCTTATTTTGTACATCAATTACAATTTTTCCTCTCAAATGCCCACACATTACTCGTTCAAAAGCTGCAGGTACATCATTAAAACCATATATTTTTTCAACACAGGGTGTAAGCTGGAAACAGAAGAATTTTTTGAGTCAATACTTAGACATAGAAGAATCGAGAATAAGGAAAAGAAAATATTATCACCCTTCCTTCTTCAGTTAGATGAGATATTTCATGAAGTGCCTCTGCAAGAGGAATAAAAAATCCCCATCGCACAGTGCTACCAGTGCTGATCATATTTGTTTTGATGTTTGGCACAATTATATCTACTAGATTTTTAATCATCCCACCTACAAAGCCATACTGATCCACATTGTGCAATAGAGGAGATTTCAATGTAATGTATTTAGAAAACTCCAAGTCTTTTAAGTACTGTGCATATTCTGTTCCCTTTTCTGAACCAAGGCCTGCAGCATCCAAAATTATATCATATCTGAAATCAGAACAGAATTAACAATTCTCAATATAGTTATGCATGTATTTTATTATGCATTTTCTACCATTTTATCAGAACAGCAATGAATCATGAAATAGTTAATTCCCATTTTCTTTATTGTGCACTTAGCCAATAAATCGAGGATGCAGTAATTATTTCCATTTGTTGAGAAAGAACAAGCCACTGCACTTACCATTCTTGACATAAGACAGAATTGTCTGATGACAGTCTAACCCTCCCAAAGCTGAAGGTGGAACTTAGTCATTTGAAACAACACTGGACCCAGATAGACACATTATCAAAATATTGTTAACATTACAGTTTTTATCCATAAATTTCACAATTTAAACAAACTAACTTTGAACCATCCCATGTAATTTACAAAGTTCATAAAGAAATATACCAATTTTATTTATTCGCACAATTACTACACAAAATACAAAAGTATCAAATAAAAACTTATATAACTCACAAAATAATAATATAAACTCGGGTCAATTGTAAAGTTTCAGTAAAATTTTGAGTAATTTAAAGTGGCTGTTGAAACAAAATGGAAGAGCAGTCTACGATGAAAGGGTTCAAGGGGAAGACAATGATGAACAAGAATACTTTGTATATTCATAATATACAGTGAAAAGCACTTAACTTGCAAATTTGAGTAGTATGCAGACCCCTTGTTTTTAAGTGTCCAAGTGTGAAGTGTAAATCTGACAAAGACATTTACAAATGAATAAAGTTTCTCATCAAGTTAATAATAAATATATTTCAGGTAATAAATACTGGTTAAAATAATGTTTTCAAATAAAGCTGGTACATTTAAATCAAATATTTTTTTTTTTAAATCAATGATTTAAATCTATATTTATTATTTGTAATACTCGAAAATATATTTGTATTTTAAATATTTGTAAAATAAAAATACTTAAATCAATTACAAAGTTGATATATTATATTTCCAATGAACAATTTCAAATAATTGAACTATTTAAGAAAAATAAAATACAGTAGACAATAAAATGAACAAACTTATGAAGCCAAGAACAAAAAACAATTTGCATTACAGTTATATACAAATAAACTTAGATGATCGTTTAGTTTTTAAGCAGCATTTAATTGTCTGAAGATAACTAATTTAGGAGTAATTCCACCCAAAGACACACCAAGCTAGTTACGAGAAAAACACATTTAAAGCTTGAATGGGGTCCACAATTCTATATTGTATTTATAATGTTGCTGAAGCCACTTAAAGTTCATTTCCAAGATGATGAGTAACGTAAAAATGGAATTTTGAAATTGAAAAAGTCTAATTTTTTTGAATTTTTAAAAAAATTATGATTTTTTTCAGCCCTATTCAAATATTCTGATCTTTTACTTTGTATATTTGTTGAATAGAAATTCAATGTTAATGTTGATACATACTTTCCTAGTTCTTTTATCATTTTCCAAGCATCAGGGTGAGTATAATCAATGACTCCATCAGCCCCTAGTGATTCTATTAGGGATGTTGCATCTGTACGGCATGTAGCAATAACCTGAACAATAGTTTGAGAGATTATCATCGTAGTAGTAGTAGTAATATATCTTAAATGTTCATATCAAATGAACAATATACAACTGATTCATGAATATATATAGCTGAATATCATGTTACAGCTTTTTCAATTTGGTTCCTTAATTCGAAAATACGAATGTCTATCTTCTTTTGGCTTCCTCTTGTCTAAGCACCGCTTTGATATATAAATAATCAAGGAATGGAAAACCACTCGAAAATATAAACACGGGATATAAATAACCAAACATGAAATATAAATATAATCAATTCAAAGTGACACGGCAGGAAATGATGGTGTAATATAGGTTGAAATAATATTTTGACTTGTTTAAATTAATTGAGCTTCATCCCTCAAACTCTTCAAGTAACTTCGCACAGACACATTTTCATGTGCCTTTACCAATATACACCAAGCAAACTGTGCCTCGCAGAACCAGAGGGGGTACTATTCCTGGGTTTATGTCTTTGCTGAAACGTTCACGGACATTACAGCATCCTCTTTTGCTTCCACTGTGATAATTTTTTCAGTGAACCGAAACGGGTATATATCATTAAAATATAAAGCTAGCTTGTAATTGCACGTTGTATGGAGGCATTTTGTACCTTTCTGTGACTATCAGGATTACAGAGATTATAGATTTTGGGTTTCAATTGCACCTGAAGGGGATTTTAGCTGTTTTATTTAAATTTGATATTGAGATAACCTGTCTAAACAATATTCCGTAGTAAAGAAAAATTTCTGATGTTTTTATAACATTTAGAATCTCAAACCAGTGACATGTATTGGACCAGCTCATATTCTTGACTTTGTTCGGCTTAGCATGTACATTCCCAACGTGGCTATGAGGTTGGCACTTTTATAACTACCGCAAAACTACTCAATCACTCTCCAACATTTTTTAATTGAAAATTACCAGCGGGTACTTGAATATCCTCCTTTGCATATATGCCAACCACCCTCAAGCGCACTGGTTATACTGCATAAGCATCCGGGCTCCAGGCACAATTGGGGACCACACGCTTCCAACTTCCCAAAGTTGAGGAGAATCACCTAGCTGTGTGGCGGTGCACCATCCAAAACAAAGACTAGTGCCTAGGACCGAACACTTGTCAGGGCAGCTCTAATTGAAGTTAATCTGCTTCTGTACAGGTAAAGATCAGCTACGACTAATCGAACTATACATAGCAAATCCAAAGCACTCCAATAGTTCGAACGCTATCTGGCATACTTTTGATATCATAAGTGCCCCAATCTGGGCGCTAGAGCTCCGCCTCGGTTGGTCTTCGTTTCAGACGCCCATTCTTCGGGTGACAAAAGAAGAGATGTCTGGCCTATGGACTATTTACAAAGAGATTATCAAAACATGTTGAGTATATCCACCATCCTTTCCACTATGCCGTCTTTGAGACGCTCTATATAGGAGACCGTAATAATAAGGCTAATGCTCATGAAGATTAACTAAAAGGTTACTGTCAAAGAAAAACAACTTAACTAGAAAGTACTCAGTCATTTTTGAGTGCGTCGCGAACTTGAATAATAGGTTCCTGTTCGATAGCGTCTCAAGACCGAATTTAGAAAACTGCTAAGCTATTCCGAGCACACGCGATGCCAGCTATTGAAGAACGTTATCGTAGTTTGTCCCTCCAGCCATCGGGATGCCTCACGGATGCGATATATATACTTAAATGTGAAGGCCGAGAGCGTCCGCCTTGTAACCGTGGCGCGCTTGTGCAATACAGGACCTTGCTGGCGGCAAATCCCGTCAACGTATCCCATAGTGGGGTTGGACCCTTAAGAACACTCAGGGCAGGACGCGTATGGCGCGCTCAACATACAATCAATGTGTCCACGAAGCGGGGAAAAGTACACCTGTGGGCGTAGAACGGAAGTGGGAGAGATATTGTTCGACGAAATTGTGCCCAGAAAAATCTTGCACAATGAGTCGGACGCTTCCCATAGCTCGTCTCGGCGGCCTCTTATCGCGCTTCCGTGTATTGGTCCATGTGGACGGAGTCAGAGGATGAATCATAACCGACGCTGGGGGTGGCTCAACACAGCATTACGCTAAGCTAATTGGTTCAAAGTGCCCGCTATTTAGGGACATTACATTCAAGGAATTGCATTCATTTTTTTCAGTGGTCTCTTTTTGTATACTGACCTCCGGGTTATTAGCCCATCTCATTGGCCTATCACTACGGTCGCGGTCTGCCAATTTGTGAGGCACTTCTGTAGGACTCTCCGGGAGAATCTCGCAGGCGCGTAGGTACGTGGCAATATACTTTAAGTAGCGAATGTTCAGGGGACGCCGGGTCCACATGATAGGCGCTAAGCTTAGTAAGCCCGTACTTGCAACTTCTCTCACTTTACGGCAGGGACTTGGGAAGCGTCATATGGGTACATACTTTCGCAAACAGCAATCAGCTACGTCTGCGATAAGATTCTCCAAATCACTAAACTACATACTTGAGCGCTCAGGATTAACCAATCGATGATCCGCAGGATATTCAATTATGGAGCTTGAATTTGCCAGAAGCGGCCATCACATTTTAGAAATCTTGCTTTTGTTTGGTCCTCTCTGGTGTTGCATAATGATAAAAAAAGACTAAATAGAATTATAATAATTTCAAAACGAAAAATTACTACAGTTAATTTGTTCAACCAGAAAAAGAGACATGTGGTTTTAACTTAACAAATGAACAACGCTTTTATACCTTTTTAAGTATATTCTAACAGAGTTTTTCAGCTTTAATGAATGGGTACGCCATAGTCTCAACATAAAAATAAGAAATTATTCTAAAAATAGTGATGGACGAAGGTACAACGCCATCGACAATTCACCAACAGCTCCTTGTTCATATTCCACAGCAAGTTGCATCACAAGGCAGTGATCACTAAATGCCGGACAAGTGCTCCTTATTTCCTTAGAACACCGTATCATCGTTTTATTGTGATTAACAATTCCAATCTGTACAAAAATGTGAGTTTTAACAATTTCATTCAGGTTATTGTGGGAAAAATAACGTACAATGCAATTTTTGCATAATATCTAGATTTGCAAACGTTTCTAATATAACGATTTCAAGATCCTCCAAATTTAAATTAACTGTTCAACATCTATTTTAATTCCCTCTTAGAATATACAAGATATTATTTAAACATATGAAATTATCTCTCATTGACAAATTAATTTATGATCAAATGTCTCATTTGGAAAGTCTGGCTTGGTTGACCGCCAGCACCTGAACTAGTTCCATTTTGTAGTATAAATATACTCTCTGCATTGTCTAGCTGTTTAACAGCACACAGTCTACTTTTTCACATTTGTTTCGACTCGTGATGTTTTTTTCGATGTGTATTCCGAACTTTTTTATTTAACAGGTCGTTCCAACATGCATGAAAACTGGAAGAAAAACTACTTGGTTTTACTTTTTGCTATGATTGACGTTTTTTCTCTCAAACGGGCAGATAGGAAGGGCACGCAAATATAATGTTTGTTAGTTTAAAGTATGAAACTATTAATACTTTTTATTATTAATAGTTGTTTTTAAGATCGTTCAATTTAGATCGCCACTGTTATTTGATGAGTGGATCTTATTCGATTATATAGTCCGAACGCAGTCAAATTTATGGAAATATTACAGGTATTTGCTCGAAGAGTAAATCGGATATTGAATTTTATATTCCTCTTTTGGCTCGATCGCATGCCTTTGGTGGCCGTTGAGTACATCCTCAATTCTCTTTCAGTAAAGCATCAATTTAAAGTATATATTCTATCTTGATAGTTTGTTCCGTGTTGCTCCAAAAGATGCATAAAACTTGCATTCAACATTTTTAAGAAATTGTATATAATATGCGCCCATTTTCTTACAGGCTTGAATGGGAAAGGTAGAACTTTAAGAGGCTGCGATAGAAGCATTGGCAGGAATTGTCTATTTAACAGGTGGGCAGGCTAACTTTTACTCAATTTGTAGCTTTATTATGAAATGGCCAGACCCATAAGCACTGTGTGAATTTTGTGCAGTTAACTAAAATTAACAAAATAGATTGCCAAAGTAATAGATATGACGCAAACACCTACTCATAACAGGCTAAATGTAGGATTAATCTAATGACGAGAATGTTTGAAAAGTGACATTTTTTGGTCAATTTACAAGTATTTCATATTTATTTTAAATATGGTGAAATTGTTTATCAATAACCAAATATAAATAGTTCAAAGTATTTTGTAATATATTTATTGAGGCTTATTATGTTGTGGATTTTAATAAAATGTAAAGGTTTTCTTCTAGTTTCCTAGTACAAATTTACATTTTTACTTAATTGGTCTGTAAGGGTTAAATCTTATGATATTAAAACTAAATTAACAGCAAATATAGTTTTTCTTATTTCAATTCTTACCTTAATCAACTAATTTTTGAGCTTTTTTTATTATAAATTGCAGTATTGAAGATGAAAGGAGGAATTCTGTTTCAAAAATCTCCTATTTTTCTTAATAAACGTTCCTGGCATTACTTTGTTTATTTTAAATCTCATGCTCTTTTTATTCGGGGAATACGATTTGGAAATTGGTTGTAATAGCCTAGGAAGGGAAGGGATCTCCCTTTTGTTTTCCCTTTAAAAGTTTGCCGCTTGGCATGCCCTCAAATTGAAACATTTAGCAACACAAACTTCGCGAACATAGGTTTTTCGAATTTTATTACAAATAGGCTCGCACTCACTTCAATACGCTTTGGATACCTCTGACCTTTAGGATCGAACTATTTACTTTCTCTGAACAATTAGCTAGTTAAAATATTATTTTATAAACTAACAGCATATGTAATTTTGAAGAATTAAATATGCAATGTGTAGCCATAAGCATAGCTGGGTTCATTAGGATTTTAATTAGGACATTGTTTTCGCAAATTGGAGATAATAAAACTATTAGGAAGAGTCAAAGATATCACCTTGAATTTAATGGATAAATAGGATTGGATTAATTAACTTTTATGAATTTGAAAGGTACGAAACTTTTGGTGGTCTTTGGTGGCTTTTTGGTTCTTTACCCTGCTTTATTACAGGAGAAATCGGTGTGGATCTCCACCACACTCATTTTTTCAGAAAAATCTTTTCTTTGTAAACCTCTAACTACGTACACAATTTTAGTGCAGTCTTCGTCTAACTAGATAAAAATTGCGCGTGGTCTAGTGTTCGTTGAAACCACCACCTTTATTTTTTCTCTCAGTTGCATTTCAAATAAATATACCAATGTGGATGTTTCATTTTCAATTCACTAGGCTCAAAAATTTTCAACAAGTACTTTGTGTATTTTCGAAATGCCTTTAAAAGCTATTTAATTTTATACAAGGAAATATTAGTTTGGGCAAACAATCCATTTTTGGTCCAAGGTGCACTTGGTGACGCTAAAATTTTAAAAAAATCTTAAAAAATTTAATTTAAGTAACCAAATACAGAGACAGGATAAAGACCCATTTTACATATCACTAAATTTGGCAAAAAGCTTTTTAAATCATGGTATAAAATTGGACTGTGTTCATTTGTGCAGCATGTGCTGATTGAAGAATGGGAAGTTCCCATTGTTTATAGTGATTTAGATTCCCCTCAATAATGGCTCTTGGGTTTTAAATGTTTGGTTTAGGAGGATCACTTTTTTAAATATTGATTTACATAGAATATTACAACACATTGGGCTAAATTAAGTAATAGCCCAGATGTAGGCATAGGTAGAACAAAAATAAGTTATTTATTAAATAAAGAATAATGGCCCTGCATTTAGCACCGAAATTTGTCTTCTAAAACTTCAACCTATTACCCACGGCGCGGCACCCCTCCCCAAAAAAAAAAAATACTATCTAATTCACAAATGAAAAAGACATATAAGATGCCCAGTTAAGTTCACATTTCATTACGCAAACGAATGGTCGGTCCCCATTATACATCGTTTCTTTTTGCAACAATACCTTGACCGACCGCCATAGGTCGGAAGCTTGCAATTAAACATTTCATCTAACTCAAAATGGAATAATATTTTGGGATCCAAGCTATCACTAGCCAACTAATGTGTTTTTTTCAGTCTAACATTAAAAACCTATTAATAATATAAGAAAATGGATTTCCAATTTTTCTGATTTTAACACGGGTTTTTTATTCACTGGACAATGAGAACTATTTTTTCAGGGATTTGTACAAGGGCTTAATTGTTTTATCTAGTATTAATTTTTTTATCTATGAAAAATATTGGATTTAAAAGAACTATTTTTAATTTCAAAGTTTTGGAACAGCAAATGTGACTAGCAAATCTTAATATTTTATACTACTTTCGGTTCATTTTGGATCTGAGAACATATGATATGATTCAAAAGATCAATTTTGAGGTAAGGAATAGATATATTATATATATGTTAATCTACACTTTCTGAGAAAGAGAAAAAATTTGCCACATGAGCGGTAGAAAATGATTCAGTAGACATTTTGGAGTACATAGGTGTGTCGCAAAACAGGTCAGATAAGATTAGGTGGAGCTTTAACAAAATAATTCAAATTTATAATACTTTTATTGATTTACAGTTTAGTAGACTATTTGATAAATTGTTAAAACTTTTAAATCAATTTCAAGGTCAAGACAAATTATTTTAATTTTTTATTTCGAAGACATTAATAATGGTGTCTTATTTAAATTTCCTTGTTATTACGTTTTGTCCTTTGCCTTTTCCAAGCAACAACTTCATTTTTTTCTTTTATGCCGAGAAACAGGAAATGGCCCTTTCTACTTTAATTATTATGTATCTGGACATTGTTCGAAGAGAAAAACTCTAATGAAAATAATGACTATTTATTAAATTGTTAAATAACTTTCCATAAACAGTAGTGGAGGAATGGAATTGGACAGGGCAATTTTTTCGGTGGGGCTGTGCCACGTGAAAAGGGTTCAAATTTATGGATAATATATAATGCGAATGGCCATCACTTTTAACTTTGCAGTTTGTCTACATTATTCAAGCTGGTTTACATAATGTTTAGATTTTGAGATAAAGTGCTTAAATTGATACTATCTGACATTCATATGATTAGCTGTACTGATTTTTGTAAATAGCACATTTACAGATAACTTACTCGTTCAGTGTGTATTAGGTATGTATAGGTGTAAGATTTACAATAATTTTCCATGATTGAAAAAGAATCCTCTAAATAAAGACAGAATTACAGAAATACTGCTGAAATTTCATGGTAGTGTAAGGGGAAGGGAAATTGACCAGGGAAATAATTAAATGGGAAGAAAGAATTGATAAAAATTTCCTATACACATTTGTTGGTCTAGAAAATTAGAAACTAACTGGCTAATATTCACTTCTAAATACACCTGGTTAATTTCCCTTCCTATTACATACATGAAATTTCAGATGTAGGTTCTTTGTGATTATATACAGTTTTGACAAAGTTGAATTAAACATTCAAATTTTAAAGATTTTTCAGGTTTTATACAAATCTGATTCTGTTTTAAAATCAAAATGAATACCCTGTTAAAATATTTTTAATTCCTGAACAAATCTTCTTTTAGAACAAGTTACAGAATACAACATAAAAGCCTTTGTTTGCTCTAGCTTGTACACATGGTACAAGTATTTGTTTAACCTTGTGTTACTTTATTTTACAAAACATATTATTTTTTTCCGAGAACACTGTCTTTGTTTTTTTTCTTTTTTTTCCCCATGCATCCTGCTTTTTTTTCTTTCTCTTTTTTAGCTAATAGTGGTTTACTACAGCACAACCAAAATCAGGCAAACTCATTTTGGCATTGCTTTTATTTGTAATGTTTGGTAAACTATGAACCGATGGTAATAAGGAACTAGTCCATTTTAAATATGGAAGTATTTTTCGGGTACATCATTATCCACAGACTGTGATGATTTAATGTCACACAATCTGTGCTGTCAATCCAAAGTTACCAAGACAGGAACAAATTTACACATTGGGTTTTTTGGAATCATCTCAACTCAATAGAGCACAGTTTGGCATAGAATACATACTACAGGATCATGCTGACCGCTCATGTTCGATCATTAGGGATGTTTGTCTTTTATGTGGTGTCTCTCAATAGCAAGATGGGTACTGCAACAATTATATCCACGACACGATCAGGTTATAATTTTATTTGATAATATATTTTGTTACATTACTACTATACGTAAGAACACTTTATAGATTTAATTTATAAAATGTGTGTATCAGATGAAATTCCATTAACAGAACAATAAATACCATGAGATAAGGATTCAGGTCGAAAGAATAAGTGTGGCTCTCATTTACTTTTTCCACTATGGGAGAAATGGAGTGGGAGAAAATTGGTTATGTTGTCACTCCACCGGAATTATAAGTTTACAAACATTGTTGCTCCTTATTCGGGATTAAAAGCTTGGGGATAGGGTGACAATATGGGCTGGGTTGTCATTTGTTATATGGTTAGTGGCCATATAAGCAATGATGCTTGTTGCCAAGCCTTGGAATAAAAGATTCAACAAAAAATGCGACTAAATTTGATATTATAATCTGTATCGAGGACAATACTAACTATTTGATATTAATAAGTGATTACACTCATTTTAAATAATATTTAAATAATATTGATAATAAGACACTCATTATTTATAATAACATAATACATTCATATTAATATTTGAAATTTTAAGGCACTTGTTCTTGGAAGAGCTAAAATGATTATGATCTGAGTAGGAACTACTCTGTACATGTACCCTTTGATCACTCAAAGAGCCTGTTTATCAGCTTGAAAGGCAAGTTAATCGGGTAGAATTTATTGGAATGAGAAAATTTGGGTAGTAACATTTAAGCTTTTGCTTACTTATATGGAGGAGGTACAAGATACCAAGGTGAGATACTTTTCACTTATCCCAGTATTTTACCGCTTGCTATTTGATTTGATATAAACATTAAACCATAGGTTTCTACTCAAGTCAGAATTAACCGATATCTAGACTAAGAATAGGAACTAATGTCTTGAACTAGGAATGAATTTGTCCATAATATTGATGGGAGATTGTACGGTGGAGAACTACTTAAGCACAGGGAACGACAATGTTATTCGTCAGTACCTCAAAGTCATAGATTTTCGTACTGGATCTTAGAATCTGGGAATCTTGATTCATGCCTACAATACAGGTCCAATAACGGAGGATTAACTAGGCTGAAGATATATGGATGAAATATCTGGGTTTACATAGTGGTAGATTATAAGTCCATATCAGCGCATTGGAGAACGTCAGAAGTGACTAACTGGCGTTGCTATCAGGTACTTGTGTCCATGATTTCCAAGCGTCTCTATAAGAGTATGTGTGCATACACAGATCAGTGTACTGGAATACATAGAGGTTTAAAATGTGAAATCGCCAATTAAGTTCAACGTTAATAGTTTTTTGACTGTTAATTTTACAATATTTACACATCAACACAAAAAGCAATATGCTAGTCTTTTATATTTTAGTAACAACTATGTGGTAAATCAATGGAGGAATAAAGACAAGCCGGTGTTCTGGAAATGGTACCATCTGAAAGGGAACAATTGAAAACCTGGATACACTCTGAAATGTGTGACAGAGAATTTCTTGCCAGGGCCTCTGGAAGTATAGAGGGTAAAATCGTTCGCAAAAATGTAGGTAATAAACTGGTGGAGACTCAGTTGGTAAATTTTCGACTAAACGTTTTAGATTGATCAAAAATTAAGAGAATCATATGAATTTCTTCTCTGCATTAGATATACTAGGACTAAAATACTATGTAATTTTTTAATTTTTCCTTCGCGCTATTAGTATTTCTTGTTTTGTTTTCATACCTAACCAGATTAAATTGAAGCAGGGTTTATCTGGTCTGTGATATTGCTAAATTTTGTTAATAATTAAACATTTTGTAATATAAACAGAATTTTCTAAGGTTGGAATGTTGGGAGGCAAATTAACTTCGGTTTACCATATTTGAGCAGAACCCTCAGTTTCTGGATTGGAAATGACAACAGTTAGGATGAATGTTCATATGTAAAAAAGTGTATCACAGTAGTCGGGCAAAATTGTGGGTACCATTTGGGAATTTAACATATGGCAATACATAAGGATTAAAAGGTGGGCATAATTCATCGGATAAAGGGGAGAAGACTGCTAGCAAATGAATCTCATTGTGAGTATAGCGAGGGTCTCAAGCTCGAGAAACTGTTTGTAGCATTTTTAACTTTTCTTAGGTGTTAATTCCCAAATTTATTTGTTCTGGGTGATTGCATTCCTGTTAGCTTCTCTTTGTTAAATCCTCTCTGATGGTAATGACAACCACAGCATGATAAGCCGGTTTAAACAATTTTGTTATGGATCAAAAAAGAAAGGCATTTTGGTTCATATCATCACAGTGGTGAGGGATGAGGATAAAGATATAGGATGAGGCAGGGCCGGTAAGTAAAGAAGAGGAAGCAGTGAGACTGGGGACAGAAGCAACAGTGGAAGCGAAGGCAAGGAAAAGAAATGGGGATGGAGGGACAGGGAAAAAGTAAAATAAGAGCAGAGGAATGGTTGGAGATAGGTTGAGGACAGGGGTGGAAGTGGAATGGAAGTGAGTGGAGGCAAGGTCAGGGTGAGGCAGGGGCGGAGCAGTGCCCAAGGCAGAGGGGCAGTGGCAGAGGTGGGTGCCAGAGAGAGAGCCTCCATTCAAACCTTAATGTTTTCTAAGTACGACATAAGAGAAGGCCCACTTTCATAATATTAAAATGTTTTGGAGTTCAAGTTTTTTAGCAGTAGGCAGCAGTTTACCCATTTTTCCATTCTTCAACTCGCTTCACTGTCACAGAAGAAGATTCACGGCACAAAAGTTTATAAGTTACGTTATAAGCATTTCGGAACTCTACGTCTATCCATAACATTGAAGCAGAAAAGTCACACCGAGCTAGTTTACCTTTCATTGCATTCTCCTAGAGTATTTCCACTTCCGGGAAATGGATGCTCTTGCGATTCAAACCAGTTTTATAACTACTCCTCAGGTTCATCGTACTTTAATAAGAAGCATATTTTCCCCATCTTCGAACATATGCATGTTCAGAAAGCACTAGATACTATTGATACATGTTCTTCACAATAGTTTTATATATGTGATACCCGATACACATACTCACAACAGCACATGTGTGACAATAAGGAACCAGAATGTGAACTTTCTCATTGTGGAGAAAGATTTTCTCTCCCTTTTGTTCCCCCATCAAATTTCTTTCTCGGTTCTCAACGACGTCCTAATGATTTCTGATATGGGAATTACAATAGAAATACTCACTCGCACCAACGTAGACCGATTTAGTAAATTGACAGAAACCGTTAAGGTTTGCATATCAAAAACATAATTGGATCCCTACATCATGTTTGATATCTAGTTAGAAAAAATATGATTTGGATCACTATATCATGTAGGGCTAGATAGCACACATAGGCGGCAGCATAACAGCAGGGGGGGGATTCCCAATGCATAAATCAGGGATTTGAATACATTTAACATAAGCAAACTTGGAGGACCTATAAACAGGTTGTCCAAAGATAGAAAGACAAGAAATGTGGGAGCATGCTGCTAATATTTGTATTTATATTATGTAAACCAAATTAGTTTAAGAAAATGGATAACCACGCGAAGGACATAGTGTTTTGACTAATTATATATTATGTTGCAGCAGTCATTTCAGAACCATAGTAAAAGTAGATATACTGACCAAAGGCTTCAGAAATATGCATAGTCTGTCATAAAGCCACAGTCATAAAATTGTTGAGGAGATGAACCAGTATTTAAACTATAGAACCACTGAATTTGTAGTTTCTTGGACAGCTTGGAGTAGTGTTCATTAGAGAGACTGAAGAGGGGATTCAGTTGATTGATCTGTGGAGGAATTTCATCATTTTGGCTTTTTTTCAAGGAAGGTTGTAGCCACACATGCTTGCTCCCACACATCTACGCCCTACCCCATCATTAGCAAAAAAATCTTTCAAACATTGTTAAAAAATAGTAAACAGTAAACTGAGAGTAATAAATATATAAACTAAATATCATCCTATGTATCAGGCATCGTAAAACAACATAAACTTCGAACAAACGCACACTACTGATGTCACGCTGATGTGTGTTGAAAAGAAATAGTTCCAACAATTCCCAAGTTATTCACAGCACTATTGGGCTTTAAAA